ATGATTAAAAAGTATATATGCAATTATACATTGCAAATAATATAAACACTTAATTTTTCTTAAACATGAAATATTTTTTTCTTTACACATTAATTAATCTTATATGATTCTATATATAATATTAAAACAAAATGATTATAAAATAAATATTTTAAAAATATGAAAATAAAGATATCAAAAATTAATCTAAAATAATTATTAATATAAAATATTTATTTTTTAATTATTCATCTTTTAATAATATCTTAAATAATTAAAAAATTTAAATGTAAATGTAAAAATTTAAATGTAAAAAAATATGATTTTATTGAAATATGATTTCATTAACAAAATTAAGTGAGTTTACAAAATTTTTTTGCATTTTCCTATAATGAAAAAGTTATTGCCATCGCGTTTCTTAAAGTCATAAAAGCTTGTATCTTTAATTTTATTTTAATTAATAGGAACATGCTTCTGATATAATTTATATCAAAAATCAAATATTAATGAGACAAATATCATGTGATATTCATTGATATCGCTTCGAATATGAATTCCTAGATGAGCAAACTGATTTATTTGTGACTATCTGATCAACAACGAAAAATTATTAAATACTATATTATTAAATACTATAAAAATACATGCTAATATGGCAACCTGTTTCAATTTTAATTCCTGCTTTTTAATATCCTGATTTTTTAGCTGTTTATATTTATTTAAAAATGATCTCAACATATCAAATATGCTTGAAATTCATCATATGTCTATTATATTCTGTAAAGAAATGGTTTGGTAAAATCGAAGAAGAATAAATATTTAAAAAAAAAATCTGAAACAAAGCTGCTTATATGTTATTTGGAAATTGGAGAATCACATTAGATTGGCTATTCTAATTCGATTAGTCCGATAGAAAATGTTTGAAGTTTTATCAAATTGGAGTTCTCAGTAAATATTGAAGCAATTTATATTATAAATCAAAAAATATGACAATCATCTATGTTATATGCCAAAAATTTAATTAAAAGTATGCTTAAATATTACCAGAGAACAATAATTAACAGAGTTTACATTAAATAAAAACATGAGAATATATTTAATAATGTGTTAAATTATATGATCAATTTTTATTTTCAGAAATCATATAAAAATAATTGGTAATGTGTGGCAAACTGTATTAAGCTATATTATTTTATCTCTTGTTTTGGAAATTACTAATAGATATGTATTTATTTTGTAAATAAATACATATTTATTAGTACACTTCTTGGAATTGAAAAAAATTACAATTTCAATAAAATAATATAATATTGGAATCCTATTAGTATAATAAAAAGACATAACAATGTTTATTTGTAATTATATAAAATGTATTGATTAATGTTTCATAGGTAAAACTTTATCCGAGTCATATAAAGATGCACACATGACACTGCATACCGGCGATTCGGTGACGTGCACAGTTTGCAATCGAAAATTTGATTCCGCGGACAGTCTAGCAATGCATGCAGCAGTGCACGTAGAACTTGCACCTCCGCAGTCGCCTACTCCGCAGATTTCGGTTTCGGTTTCATCCATCGTAGACACAACGATGACGCAAGCGATATCAACAACGATGTCAACGATGTATGTACCAGTAACGACAACATCAACAACGGCAGTAACAACGGTGACGACAACAACAATGACAATGGCAACAGTAACGACGGCAGAATCCAGTGATAACCAGAAGCCTTATCAATGTCAGCATTGTGGACGCAGGTTTACCAGACCACATGAGAAAGTCAAACATGAGCGAATACATACTGGAGAAAAGCCTCATGCCTGTGAGGTAGACAGATAATCGTGTAGTCCAGTTTCAAACATTCAAATATGCATCTGAAAGTCTTTAAATTGCGTAAAAGACAATTTCTAAAGAGACATTTTATCTCTTCAACATAGAGTACTTAAAAAATATTCATATCTCTTATGAATCTTTTGATCCGTATTACAACATATTTTCAACACTTTATCAATAACTCATCAAAATTAAAGATAGAAGCGGGATTCTTTTAAATATTTCTTCGACCGTACAGCCAATTTGTAGCACCATTTTAACATCTTAGTAATAAAACATGAATATTATAAAGACTATAAGGTTGACAAATTAATAGTTAATGAATTTCTGATTTATTTTCTGCTTTGTTGCATTCAATTGTGTCAAGCGGCAAAAAATTAAAAGAAATTAATAAGAATGTCTTTGTTTGTTAACAGGTTTGTGGCAAGACTTTCCGTGTCTCCTATTGCTTAACTCTTCACATGCGAACGCATACGGGTGTGCGACCTTACGCCTGTCAACACTGCGGCAAACGCTTCAAGGCATCCTCCGTTTACAATCATCATTTGCTGACGCACGGCGAAGAACGCGCCTATACTTGCCCGTACTGCCCAAAGACATTCAAGACGCGGGTACAGCTGGCCGGTCACAAGAACAGCCATACGAAACCATTCCGGTGCACCGAATGTTCACGGCCGTTTGCATCGCTCTATGCCGTTCGCGCGCATATCCAGACTCACAAAAAGGACAATAATCTAAAGTTTAGTTGCTATGTGTGTGGTGCATCATATGGGCGAGCGTTTGCTCTTAAAGATCATTTGAAGCAGCACAGTCAAGATGTGCTGGCACCACCCGAGCCAGCACGGGAGGAAGAGGTACATGAGAATTTCCTCCTCGGCGAGGAGATCGAAGAAGACGATTTTATAGTTCCACCGCCACCGTCATCACTACCGCCGCCACCGCTCGCTGTCATCGCGCGTTCCTCTGCTGCGAATGATACCGATTGAAGTCAATTATTGTAATTCAATTCTAGTCGAATCAACACGTTCCATAAGCTTCCTACAAGTTTACGTTTTATGGAGACTAGAAAATTTAACATGAATAATTGTGTTAAAATTTTTGCGCGAATCTCATGTGTCTCCGTATGTCTATGCGGTTGTGCATTTCGTGAGTTGTGGGGTAAGTGATAAAAGATTTTTTACCAAAACTAATTGCAATTGATTAGGATCTAGTTGTATGTAAACGTTGTTGAATCGTTGAATAAAGTTTATTCGTTCATATTTTTTGTTTTCGTTCGTCGTTTCGTCAGGAATTCGTGAGCTTTATTCAAAATCGAAGGATTTATCGTTAACAAATATAAAACGTTACATTACTTTAATCGATACAACTAAACATAATTCTGCAATGAGGAATTACTAAATATTTAATTTTCTTTAAAAAAAGAAACGAGAAATATTTGAATCATTTCTTATATTCTCGTCTTTCCAGATAATACATCACAAAAATATATATTGGTCTAATGTTTATATTACGAAATTACATATTGATATTGTGTACGTATATTGGATTTAAGTTATCAAAATTAATAACAAAGAATTATTGTTAATTAATTAAATCTATCACGATTAAATTAATAGACTTAAGTTTTAAATATGTGCTTTTAATTTATATAAAATAATTATAATGAAAAAGGAACTTTTATATGCGACATATACATATCAAACTCATGTTAGTTTAAATTTCGCAATTATTTATTTTATGTACAATGATATAATTATATATCATTGTGTACAGAACTACATAATTATTTGTATTCAATTAATTTATTCAAAAGAGATTACATTTCTTACATATACAATTGAAATATTGTTTGAATAAAAATTAATTTAAGAGTATTTTTTTTTAATGAAATATGATTGTTTAGTTTTAATAATTTTAGTTTCTTAATACTACATTGATTGTTATTCACTGTTATTGTTTGAAAAATATTTTATGATAAATTAAACTTTTTCGCAGAAAATTTTGTTGAGTTATTTCTATTTTTTACTATTAATAAAGAATCTCTATACCTAGGAATCTCTATACCTAGGAAGAGACAAGAAATTTATTTATAATAAAACATGAAAGACTACAGCATTGTTTGTATCATTGCATATATTTTTAGATAACTAAATTATTTTTTTCTCTTGGCTAAGTTGATTTATGTCTATTTCTATCGATATGGTTTAATTCCGGTTTAATACTTACTTTTTGTCTTTTTTTTGGTTTTAAAAATTAGAAAAAAATAAATCAAGAATAAAGTTAAGCTACATAGATAGAAACGGACATCATGATTGATGTATATATTGATATATTTGATATATATTGATTGATTGATTTTAAAGTATTATAATACATTTTTTAATTTATTTTCAGTAGTTTTTTTAAGATTATATTATTACTTATAACTTTTTAGATTTATATATGAGCTATAATATGAGATATAAATTTAAATCATATAAATTCGAAAAGCAATGCAAATCTTGAGAACATTGCGGACAGGATTATATATAGGCGATAAATCATAGTCTCTTATTTTCTTCATTTCATTTTTTCATTTATTGAATAAGAGACAGATATTCATGAAAACTTTCAATGCGAACAAAATATATTTATATTGTCAAAAGGAAATGTCCGAACCTATATATTTATATGACATTTTTTTATTTTTAAGAAGAATAGAATACATTACCAAAGTGGGACCATCTATTTCAGTATCATATCTTATACATCCTACTATGATCTTTATATAATCTTTTATTAGAGTAATTATGATAAGGTCTTTTAAATTTTTGCTAATATTTCAAAAAATTGATAACAGTTATTTGTTTTTAAATTTGTTTGAATTTTTTTAAATGAACATATGTCCATATAGAACAATGAAAGTTTCATCTCTATAAAGCTGAAATCCTTACCACTAAAAAGAAAATATTCGAATCTATGCCATAATTAAGTGTTAATTTAATGATAATTTAATTGCCGTACTCCCGAATTTATTGTTCCTATCCATTCGTAAAAAGATTAGGATAAAAAAAGGAAGTGTTGTGATGTTAGCATCTTCTCTCCTTAAAATACAAAAAATATGTTAGAATTTTTTGTTAATTAGTTGCTTTAAATTTATATAAATATCACAAATTTTAAATGATCACAAATTTAACAATTATTACCATAACATATAAGAACAAAGTGGTCAACTATAAACGAAAAGCTATAAAAATTTGATACCAAACTGTTTTGAGAAACAAATAATTACAAAATTTCATTTCCTATTTTCAAATTTATTCTCGAGATAAATTCAACCAATTTGTTTCTTGAATTTATTTATTTATACATTTGTTGATCCAGTTAAATTTTTTAGATTAATGTATTTATTTTTATATGCTTGTATATTAAATGATGAAAAAATAAAAACAAGCTCACAAAAAATACAAATAATAAAAAGTAGCAAAAATCATAATTGGTCAAAGATATAATAAAGATAGATATAAACGACAGATAAAATTATTTAATCGGAACGTTTTTAAGTGTGTCACATGTTATCTTGTTGCCCGTCGAAGTGAGTAACAGATTTCCATTCCAAGAAGCTACGCCATCTCCATTCACCACAAGATCAGCCTAATAACATTATCTTGTTGTAATGCATGTCTTTTATGTTAAAGCTCTCTCGCTGCAGTTATATTGACATATTGACAGAAGCGGAAAATAACATGCAAAAAATTTTCTCTTAAAGTCATTCTCTTAAAAACACGATATTCTTTCATATTCTTAAAGGAAAGTACAAAATGAAACTATACGGCGCAGAAAACGTTTTGCATATCTTTCTCACCTCTAACATCACAC